AGTATCAAGTTATTATAATTTTAAATTTGTTAACTCTTACAATATATTTTTTTTGGCTACAGAACTAAAACAAATAATGAATTTAATTTGCAAAATATAAAAAATGAAAAATAAAATCCAATGATGTGGACTGTGAATTTTTATCTGTGTTTATTTAAATATATATTTTTATAGAGTTTGTTATAAATAAACATTGAGAAATTGAACTGTTTTCTTTCTTCTTCTTTTTCTAGAATTCATCAAAATTTTGAATTTTAATTATCTAGTATTTTATTTTTTTTAGAAATTTATTTTTTTTAGAATTTATGTAAATAAAATTTATTTAAATGGTTATTTCTCTTATTTTAGTGTTATCAGAGTTTTTCACCTAAAAATAAAAATAAAAAAAGGTTTCAAATTTTATGTTATAAGTTTAACATTATTTTTTAAAAATAACAAACCAAATATATTTTGGGTTTTTTGCAAAATTAAACACAAAAATCAACATTTGAATTAAATAATTTATTCACTAATTATAATTAATTAATATGACACGTGGATGCTCATCATATCAATTCTCAATAAGTAACATAATTTATTTTAGCCAATCAAATACATAATTAATTACAAAACGTAATCTTTCCTAGAATTTGTTTGGATTATGGGAATGAGATTGTCAAAATAAACATGAAATCTTAAAGAATATCTGGGTCGATGCATAGAACGAGGCCTCATTTCGGATCAATTTTTTTATTTACTTAGTCACTCCACGCCCATACCGAAATATATTCATGCTCTTGATCGAAGAAAAGAGTTCTGTAAACCGGCCATGCACGGCAGAGATGACGACTCGTTGCTTCGGAAAAGAAAAGGCATGAAGATTGAACTTCAAGGAGTGGCGCACCATAGATTTCTCTGACACCATAACATTTTTTCTTTTTTTGTCAATGGCATGCAAATTATTAATTTACCATTAATATTTCTGTAATTTTCATAGGATTTTCTCGAGATTATGGTTTGATATATTTATTTTTTCCTATATAAACCAATGCCTCTCACGCTATCAAAATCTCATTCATCAATTGACTGAACCGACAAATTAAGTTCTTGGGTAAGTTTTGCACCGGAAGAATCGGCATTTCTCTTTCATTCAATTCATTTCAGCGTAAATATTTGTCAAATCTTAAACGATTCATAGGGCTGTCCTCCATTATATTGGAATAAGGTTTTAGTTTGTCGGTTTTTATTTTACGTAAGAGATTGTCAGATTGAAAAAGAATGGTTTTTGATTTCATTCCGTGACTTATGATTTGATGATTTGTGTTTTTGACAGGTTATGGGGAAATTTTTGATCTGTTTTATATTGGGATTGCTGTGTCTGAAATATGCAGAATCTGTCCAATTCTCTGCAATAAATTGTAGGAAGCACATTGCAGTTTTGACTGATTTTGGTGGTAAAGGAGATGGGAAAACCTTAAATACCGCAGCTTTTAAAGCCGCCATGGCCAATCTGAGCAAGGTGGCGGCAGACGGTGGTGCCCAGCTTATCGTGCCACCTGGGAAATGGCTAACGGGATCGTTCAATCTCATTAGCCAATTCACTCTTTATATACACAAGGAGGCTGTTATTCTTGCATCACAGGTATCCCTCGATCGCCTTATTATACTGTTCACTTATCTTCTTGACAATTGATCGACCTTTTATTTGTCGAATAGAATGAAGCGGACTATCCGCTAATTGATCCATTGCCATCTTATGGAAGAGGAAGAGATGCAGCCGGGAAGAGATTTGCCAGTCTCATTACTGGAACGAAACTGACAGATGTCGTTATTACAGGTAGAATAATTTGAAACTTTGATGACATTTTGGTAAAATAGATAGCACGTTAATTATCCAATCCCATTTTGTTTCGAGTATTTTTCAGGAGGTAATGGAACAATTGATGGGCAGGGTAGTATCTGGTGGAAAAAATTCAAAGCCAATAAGCTTAACAATACAAGGCCTTACCTTATAGAAATCATGTACTCAAATCAGGTCCAGATATCCAATCTAACCATGTTAAACTCTCCGTCGTGGCACGTCCATCCTGTTTACTGCAAGGACGTCATCGTCGAAGGGCTGACGATTATTGCTCCGGTCGATGTTCCAAACACAGACGGGATTAATCCAGGTGCAAAGAAGTTTGAAGTTTTGATTAACAAAAAGAAACATTGGTATACTAAGCCTGATATTTTGATTGCTGTGCTGCAGATTCTTGCACCAATACTCGTATACGAGATAGCTATATAGTTTCGGGTGACGACTGTATCGCAGTAAAAAGCGGCTGGGACGAATATGGAATTAGGTTCGGAATGCCCACACAACATCTTAGTATCAAAAGGTTAACTTGCATTTCACCAGACAGTGCTGTCATTGCCCTTGGCAGTGAAATGTCCGGTGGAATCCAAGACGTTCGAGCAGAGGATATAATCGCCATAAACTCGCAATCCGGCATTCGAATCAAGACGGCCCCTGGACGAGGAGCTTACGTAAAAGACATATATATCAAGAATTTCAAAATGTATACCATGAAATATGCTTTCTGGATGGCTGGTAATTATAATTCACACCCTGATTTGGGTTTTGATCCAAAAGCACTTCCTGTAATTCAGAATATAAACTACAGAGACATGGTTGGACAGAATGTTAGCATAGCCGGTAATCTCGTGGGAATAAAGGGCGATCCCTTTACCGGGATTTGCATTTCTAATGTGACCATCGATCTGGCTCATACTAAGAAATCGAAACTGCAGCCATGGAACTGCACTGACATTGCAGGAACTTCGAGTCGAGTTAGCCCACAGCCCTGTGGTCTGTTGGCCGAAAAACAACCAGGAAAAAGTGTAGATTGTGCTTTCCCTATTGATACACTGCCTATTGACAAAGTTGTTTTGAAAACTTGTAACGTTAAAGTATAAAACTGTTTTTTTTTTTTTCTAGACGATATACAATTCCTGAATTTTGAATTTAACTTGTTTTCTTCCTTAATATTGTCCAATACAAGGAATGATGATGGTTTATATATATAGTTTTCAGCCAATCATTTTCTGAAGAAACAGTAAAACTTTGAATCTCAACAGGTAATGGTTAAACATCAAAATTTTAAGAATTCTTGTGTATAATGCTTCCTTTCTGATACTTGAGCCAATCGATGCTCTTCCAAAGTTGTAAATATCACTTTTCTATACAGATCAAGGCAATTTTAAAATTGTTAATTGATTACCACATTAATATGGGTCGCGGACTGAACATAGAACCTTGTGCAATAAGTGGAATGGATTAGCTGTCTGAAATCAGACTTAGGATAAAAAATGATGGTAAGTAATTATTCTTTGTGGACGACATTCGAAATTGAATACTTATTTTATTACTTATCACAATCCATAAACTTGCAAAATCACGCAATCATCAACTGACTAATTTAAAAATTGTCATTGTCAACACATTCATACACTAGAATCCCATGGATCAAACTTCAAAGGAATATTCATCATAAGATTGAATACTATACGAACACAATGGACGATATTTCAGTTATCTTTTATTCCCCCTTTTTCCTAAATATTGTTGTAGACATTTAAAATGAATAACAAATTAAATAATTAAATGGAAACCTATTTAAAAAGCATATCCTACTTTTTTTAAAACCCGTTATTATAATTAATATTTTTTATTCCAAAAGAAATGATAAGTGAACTACAAAGAAAAAGACACGAGAAAATATCACTGATAAAGTTAGTGTTGGTAACTGGCAGAAATCAATATAAGTTTAAGGAAATTTCACAAAATGTCCATTTTTATCTAGTCATTTGCAAAAATATCCACCATTGTAAAAATGTCTAATTTGAAAGAATTTAGACCAAAATACCCTTATTAACAATTGATAATTCCACACTAAGACAAATAAATGAACATTTTTGCAATATTGTTATTGGCCAATAAAATTTTGAGACATACCCTGCCATATTTATTTCAAAAAGATACATGTCAAATCACAATAAATGCTATGTTTTTCATTGATTCAGAAATGTCGAGAACGACATTTTTAAATGTATATAAATGTCATGTTCAAAATGAAATGTCATTCTAAACAAATGAAACGGTGTTCAAATGTCGAGAATGACATATGAAATGTTGACAAACATTATTTTAATGTAGCTTCTCATGGAAACCACTTCTTAAAATTCGTGGCAAATTGATAAAAAAAATCAAATGTCAAGAACGACATTTAAAATGTCAAGAATACCATTTCAAAATGTAGCTTTTCATTAAGGGCATAATAAACAAATTGTCATTAAATTCAAATGAGTACACGCTTTTCAATTCATACACTTAAAATTGAACATTCTTAAAAATGTCCTTTTACTGATTTAGAAGGATTTACAGACAACAATATTGTCTATGATTGTAATATTTTCTTTCTATTTATAATACTACCGAGAAATATATTTTTCTATTCCTAACGAAATTCCCACTGTTAATATATAAATTTATCATTTATTTTATCAAGATTTTTTTGTCAATAATTAAAATCATTTATTATTTTTCCATTACTAATCAAAATTTCCTTCATAATCTTAAATACTTTAATAGCTATCTGATTCATGCTAGAATTATTTATAGGTAATTTTCATTTGAAAAAAATTAGGACTAGACTCTCCAATCTGTCAGCTCCCTAACCTTCAAAAGTGGAATAATCCTCTCATCCAGGGCTCCTATGTGGCGCCCCCATTGTTTTGGGTGTTGGGGGGGGGGGTGTCAGTGTTCCCGGAATTTCTAGCTTATTTTTTTATTTTTCCTCTTCACGGCACGGGACGGAGATTTTTGCCATCAATATGACGTAAGATTAAATCCCCATTTAGAACGTTAGTTTGATGATTAAAAAGGTCAAATTTCTTTAAAATAATTTTTTATACCCCTATTTATAACTCGCAACAAGTTTTCAATCTTGAAAGCAGGTTAAAGTCGACAAGCTACGATATCTGCTACAGCACAAATTAAAAACACCATTAACTTAAGATCCAAAATGAACAAAATTGCGGAGGAAATCAAAGTACAACCTAGTATTTCAAAGAGAAGGTACGCCTCGCATTCACTGACAAATTCTGAAGCTGGAACTCTCAAGATCCAAAAACAATGGAAGCTCAAAAAAGAGAATATCTTTTGAGAAATTTTTAACTTGGGGGTGGTGCACCATAGCCACCAGATCCACGTCCGAAGCCAGGCCTTCCACCGGAACCCTGCAGGTACAGGAGAGTTAACTTTCATATGACTATAAACTACTGAAAATCCCTCGAAACAGGACAGGTGATCATCATCCATACAAGCCAAGAAACGAAAACCAGTCATTCAATGAGAAATTCACATATAGAAGTTAATTGATGCTATGTTTCGCCATTTAGCATTGATATTGTGGTGTGAAGATGAAAAATAAGAAATACGTACATTCATCTATATAGAGCAAAAGGTAAAAGCAGATCTACGTTACCCTAGAAAACTACTGTCCCTAAAAGAAGTCTCTCATACTTCCATCCTTTCCATGGGCAAAAGAATTTTCAAGAAAGACGTTATAAATATGCCATAGCAATGTAAATGAAATACAGAGTGGCATTATAGTACAGAGAGAATTCAACCGTGTTTATTTCCATATCTGGAATGGAAGACAATGATAATAATGTTCAAAAATGTATCGAAGGCCAAAGAAATCATGATATAGTAGAACCTAGCTCTAACTGGTAAAAGCTAACTATGATATTAAATTATTGAGAAGTAAACAAGTCTAAGTTTTACAGATTTAGCAAATGGTTGGGTAACACATACATTACTTAAAAAGCCTCGTGTGACGTGCCAAAAATATAGTCCGAAAATACATCATTTTGCAGCACTATTCAAGGAGCTTATTATGAAAAGGCTAAAAAGGTTAACATTGACATTAAGATTAAAAAAATATAGCATTAACTCATCATTTTCATCATGCCCAGCAAACAATGACCTGAACGCATTTGGATGGACAATTATAAGGCCCGAAATAACAATTACAATGCTCGTAATGCAGTTCGTGCTGGCTCAACTTATAGCACCATTACCCAGTAATAGCACAATAATAAATAATTAAAGATAATATTTATATCTAGTTTAAACTTTTAATCAACATAGATCATGTAAAAGATCCTGAAGTTAAAGTCTCACTCAGACTCTGGCCATTTATGAAAATTGTTCATGACTAAGATTTTGACAAAAATGACTTCAGTTCAGTTATCATGCAAGAAGAAGTTTCAGAACACAATTTAAATATATTATCTCCTTGGTAATAGTTTAAGCTTTTAGGAGATGGTTCAGAATAAATTAGAAACAAATTTAGAAGTGAAAAAGGTAAAAAGAAAAAAGGGGGCTAATCCAATAGCAAAATATTTCGTAACCCCACCTGAGGATAGACGAAGGGGACCTCCTACTGTCCTACCTAAAAAGTTGTAAATGACTGATTCATGGGTGATCAACAAGCATGTAAACCCGAATGCCTATAAATCCAGAATTAAAAGCCCACGAATCACTTAAATTGGTGGGTTCATTTATTCTCTATTAAAATTTTAAAAAGCGTCAACCACCATAGACAAAACAAAGGATAGCAAGAATGCTAATTCGACAATCAAATAAGATACAGTCTGAGTATCCAAATTACCCTGAAAGCAGGCTGGTAGTCAGCAGGAGCTCCACCTTTTTCACCTCCAAACTCGCCTGGAGGGCCTCTTGGCCCACCACGGTATCCATCCCTATCTCCAAACCTTGGTCTATCACCATCGAATCTTGGAGGTCCACTATTGCAACAAAGCCCAAAATACTTAAATCAGCTATAGATTTCCCAAATGATAATAAGAAACTTATAATCCCCTGAAGATGTATGCATATCACGACTAAAACAAATGCACCTTAAATGCAGAAAAAAAAAATCAAAACTAATTAAAACAATTTTATATTACCATGATGAATCACTGTTACTTCTAAACAAATCCAATCACATTCCTAAAAATTTTCCACAAAACAAGACACTTAAAAAGAAAGAATTTGATCAACTCGAAAGCAAATGAAAATATTTACCGTGGACGGTCGCCTGGTGGTCCACCCATGGGACGGCCAAGGGGCTTGGCGGACTTCTTGAGAGTAGCTGGCACAATTTCCGAAGGAAGATTAAGGTAGGTACGAAGGAATTCAATGCCATCGTTGGTCAAATACCAGTAATAGTGCATCCACGCGAATGTCTCTCGCACGTACTCCTTTGACTTGAAGCTCTGCATAAGCTTAATCACTTGCAAGTTCGGGACATCAATATCCGGGTGCTTAGCGAGGTTGTAATCCTTCTTCGCGTAGCACACACCCTCTGTAAGCACAAATTTTAAAAATTTATGTTAGAATTCAACAAAAACATTAAATTCTGCTAAGTGAAACTAATTAAAGGGAATATAACCTTGGAAGAGGTACTTGGAGATCTCTCTCCGATTCTTCTCCGGGATAATCTGAGATTAAAACAGAATTTGAAAATTAATTTCCATTGCCAGTAAAAATTATATGAACTACATAAAGATGAGTAATGATACCATGGCTTCTGGAAGATTGATCACAGAGATAAGGACCAATTGAGGAAATGAGGAAGCTACAGTGGGTGCGAGTGAATGGAAACCCTACAACCAGAAGGGGGTTAAATTTTTGTTTTTTCTCTTTTATATCAGGTTTTGATAGGGCTGTAGTGGATGTGGGCTTTTACTATTTTTAGGAAGCCCATTAGATGCTTTATTAGGTACATGGGCTTCCTAGATTGGGCTATTGAGTTGGGTTCTACTGGATTGGATTAGGCCCAATACAATCAATGCTGAACTTAATGTAGAGATTTGGACCTCTCTTTTCTTTTCTTTTCCTTTTTATTTTATTTTTGAAATTTGACCATGTACCCTTTTAATATTGTACCTATTTTTTAATTCTCAAATTAGTATTTCTAATCCAACCCTAAAAAGAATACCCATCCTGTTGCCACCTATCCATCATTTGCTACCGAAATCCACCCACCAGCACCATCACGTTCTTAATAAAAAAATGTTCTGATTTGAGTTGGTGATTTTCCTAGCCGCCCGTCCTTTCAAATCCACTAAATGTAGTGTTGGTGGTGGTTAAGATGGAGGAGGCTGATGTTGGTTGTAGTGGCGAGACTCGGTGATTGCAGTGGTTTGATATATCTCATTAGAAATAAATCCAAAATAGCACCGTTTACCATCCCATTAGAAACAAATCACTATTTTTAATCCAACCCTAAAAAGAATACCCATCCCATTGCCAGCCATCCATCATTTGCCACCAAATCCATCATTCAACACCATCACGTTCTTAATAAAAAAATGTTCTGATTTGAGTTGGTGATTTTCCCAATCACCCGTCCTTTCAAATCCACTAAATATAGTGGTGATGGTGATGGCGGTTAGGATGGAGGAGGCTGATGTTGGTTGTGGTGGCGAGAGTCGGTGATTGCATTGGTTTGATATATCTCGTTAGAAATAAATCCAAAACAACTCAAATTTTTAAAACTTTTCACAAAATGTTCAATGCACAATTCCAAACTATAATTCACAATCTTTGAACAGATAATGGTCAAGAGTACTTCGTTGATATTGTTGGGAAATGGGATAATCCATCAAATTCTTTAATTGGTACCTGTCAACAAAATAGTGAATCCAAAAGAAAAACTCGTCACTTATTGAAAGTCAAGAACGTTACTGTTTCAAATAAGGCTCTCCAAATACTATTGGAGAGAAGTTGTACTAACATTTTAATTGATTAATAGAATGCCAACGTGTTTTCATAAATTCAAAACCTGAATCTAGTCAATTCAAGAATGTTTCCATATTTCCAAGCACGTTTCCACCTTACCTCCGAATTGTTTTGGTTGTACAGCCTTTGTTCACCATAATTCACCTCAGTTAAGTAAATTGCCAAGTCTATTAAATGATTAATTTTAACGAAAAAAAAGGAATAAATAATTATTTGATCCTTCCTCAAGACCTCATTTTATGTTACATTATTCTAAACCACTCCACACTATATCAAAATTTCTCTTCAGGGGGGTCAAAAACATTACCCTTTCGCCAGAGACTCTCATGTTGCTTGCGCCACCGCCTCTACTCGCTCTTCATGCAAATTACTTTTCTTCGCATTTACTGTGACTTAACCATCAAAGTGTGAACTCCAACCACTCACGAAGCCGCACACACCAACGTTGAATTAGTTTTCGTTACTAGGATTTCTTTACCGCTGGGACCGACACGATATTCATTGCCTTGAACGGGCATTAGCTGAGCTGATCAACAATCCAAGGGTACTCAAGAAAGCACAAGAAGAGATGGACAAAGTAGTTAGGAGAGAAACTTTTATGGGTCAGCTGCCCCCGTACTAAATTTCAATTCTAAGACCTTAAATTAAGATTTTTCAGTTTTACCGGAAAATTTTTCAAAAAAAATCCTTGCAGTATTCAATTTTGCATCCACAAGTAAAATTTTGTGAAATCTACCCCCCACAACTCTCTTATCCTAGCTCCGCCCCCATATAGATGTTAAGGGACAATACTTTAAGCTACTGCCTTTTGGCACAGGAAGGAGAGGGTGCCCTGGACTGCTTCTGGCCATGCAAGAAGTGCAAACCATGCTTGGTGCTAACGTGCAATGCTTTAATTGAAAATTACCGTCGATGGAGATTATCTCGGTGGAATCCATTCTGGGAAAAATACAATTCCCTAAAACCGAAGGGAAAGTTGCAGGGGGGTTACCTCAAATTTGCACCTTTTGCAAACGTTAGGGACCCACGGTGCAATTTTCCCTAAAAAGTATGTACATCATAAAAAGTAACGGCATCTTCCGAGTAAGAACTAATCAACAAGACAATACTACACATTCCTTAGAAAATGTTAACTATGGAAATCATCAAAATTTTAATTTACAGACGAGTCTTTACAATTACATTCCCGTACATTAGTTCTCTCTCGTTTATTATGTTTAGTTTCGTTGGCATGTACAAGGTATACGAACATTACTGCCAAAAGAATTCAAGACAAGAAACAATGTTTACAACCAGTGATTTTGCCAACATTTACAGACCATCACGTCACCAAAGCTTGGCCACAACCTGTCGTTAAACCACGACGTTTTGACTTTAATTGATAGCACCACTCAAGTAAATGCCAAACAAAAATCCAGAAAATGAAAGAGAATATAATAGTTCAATTTACATACCAAATTAAGTTGCATTCAGGGATTTACTACCAAGTATGGTTTTAGTTCCAACATTGCCATTGTCCTTCCCAGTTTCAACCTCGTAGGACGAAAGTAACCTCCTCTGCACAAGTATATTTAAAAGATTGCATGGTAACTAAGCAGATAAATACTACCAAATTATAACAATATCCAACACCTCGCACTGTCTCTGGAGGTTAAGTAAATATAATGCTCACAAAGCCCTAGTGTAAATGAACACACAAAATATAATTTCAATATTGAAATGGTTGATGCACAGCTATGCAAAAGGAAAACAGGGAACATTCAGACCTTTTGCTGCAGAAAAACCTAAGAGAGCGAGGGAGTTTCAAATAAACCAGCTGAAGAACCAACACTGGTTACTCAATAGATCTCATAATAAATTAGTACTTACATGGTCCTCAAAATCAGGACTAGCTAAATTGATGGAGAGATTTCTGATCAACAATAACACCTGCACAAGAGCACAAACAGAGTAATAAGAATTGTCATGCCACACAAAGCCTTCAATAAACAATAAAAAAAGAACAAAATAAATTTATGCAAAAAGAAAATTATTAAGATTCTCAAATTCCAGATTAATCCATGCCCAAAACAACATAATAACTTTATCAAACAACAGTAAAGTCGCAAGATTATAATAGAAAGCACAGGTTAAAGAAGCATACTGTTTCGATATCAATTGGATCCATATTCTTTAATTTCTGCAAGTGGCCAGACACATTTGGATCAAAGATGCTGCCTATGAATTTGTATACTTGAGCAAAATCAGGAAGAACTGCATTCACAAAAAGCAACGGGAATAAAACTTAATCCATTGGTAATAGGAATAGTACAGGAATAATCCACTGACCAACACAGAACGGGAAGCAGTCAAGTACATCAAAAGCAAGTGGCAAGGAGGAAAGAATTAAAAATATCAATGTCAATGGAGAAGCAAAAACATAAAAGGTGCAGTGATAAACATCAAATTGAGAGTTATTGGGGTTGGAAATATGATGCTAACAAAAAGCAAATGCATTTATAAAGATATCCACAATCAGTAATAAAAACAGTAGAAGAGACTGTGTGGGGAAAATTACTCATTTTAGACACATCATCAGAAGATGCAAGAACCCCAAAAAATATCACAAACAGCAGAAGATAGCAGTTTACTATAATAGGCAAACACATCAAAGGGAAAGCTTAATCCTAGAAATTAATAAAAGCATCTCCACAAATATTGGACGTGTAACCAAGTTCAGCAACACTTTCTTCAGTCTACACACCCACATCTCTACATCTCACATATCATGTCACCATTCTTACAAGAACAATGCTAAAATAATGGGACATGCTTTAATCTTCGGATTGATTCACCAAAAATCCCTGGTAAATACCATGGCTGAACCGTTAGAACTTAACTTGGTCATATAGTCCTACATTTGTACCTCTGCATTTATTAAATTCACATCAAAGACTTTAAAAATAAGTATGTTTGAATTGATATGGAATTTTATACATTTTATCTATACTTTGAAGTAAAGAGAACAGGAGGAAGGTGGAAAACCCCAAAAAAAGAAAATGATTTCACCCTCTTTTGTACATATCCAGTAAAAGGGACATAACATCTTACTTATTTTTTTCTTACAAGCCTAAATTTTTTTACTTTCCGTCACATTAAATGCCAATAGAACATGCACCAGCTATGTTAATCATCTGGCATATGTTGCCCATGTTTTCCTTGGTTAATCATCTCACCTGTAGGCCTTGTCCTTGGATTGCTCTTGATATTGGCAAGCGATTGTCCAGCAGATATAGTGTCGCCTGTAATATATAATAGAAAATCACTTCTTCTACGGGAACAGTGCAATAGCTCCATGGTTATAAAATGAAAATTGTTTAAATAAGAGAACCATTTTTCAAATGTGGCGAACTGTTGATTTGTGCAGAGTTCTCTGTCCGCCCAGGCATAGATGCAGCTCTATCAGGGTGTCCGAGTAAAGGGGAAGAATCAAGCCTTCTTACAGATCCAGGAACAGGAACTGTAGGAGAAGCTTGGAAAGACGACGTTGATTGTGAAACCACTGGTGCTAACAGAAACAAGCAAAGTCATTACAAGCTCAGCTCATGACAACAAGACATCCAATCCAAGTGAAATATTCTTACCAACTTTTGAAGCTTTCTGAGGATAAGGATGAGCGGCTTTTCTTTTTGGCCTGGGTGGAGGTAGATGTTCATTGGTTCCACTCTTTTGAACTTTGAGAAAATACTTCTGTGCATGGCTACGTATCTGCAATAGTTATGCTCTATTTCATATCATCTTAAAACAGAAATCCCATAATTTTCAAAAAAGGAGAAAAAAAAAATTAAAGCTCAAATTTAATTAAAACGTTAATTCTTTAGAACAAATTGAACATTGAATTAGGGGTAAGTTATAGAAATAAAGATATGCGACAAGCAGCTGTTAAAGTATTACAAAAACATTGCCCAGAATCAGCAGCAATGAATGAACAATCCTCAAGACAGGTATAAACAACAAAACAGCTTGTTGATGTCATTGAAACTGAGAACGGTTTGTTGTCACAGTTGCATAAACGATGAAGAAATTCTGGTAGGAAATATGACAGCAATATTCAGTAAGTAAAATAAAAATTTTCAACTTGTCATCGTGTCAAATCCTTAGTTGAAATTTCAAGTGCAAAACCATCCAGAGTCAAAAAAAGCCCCATGAAAGTAAAAGCCTTCCTCGGTCTCAGAAGATTTCAACTAAACATATTAGTTCACCATGTTAATTTCACAGTCAAATGTCAGAGAAGTTAATCATAAAAACGAAAAGACAAGCAGCTGCCATGTCCCATATACCATACCATGTGCACACACCAGCTAAATGCTTAAAGAAACAGCAAGACTCAACTATTCAGTAAAAGAGTAATTGATCTACAATATTACCTGAATGACTGTCTTTGATCCGATAAATGCTTCGATTTTTTTCCAATCTCGATCAAAGCTGGATCATCAAAACAGAGAGTAATCCCATAAATTGCAAGCCAGAAAACTAATATAGATAACATAACATACATATAGGTGAAGGTGACAATATGCATATTACCCTGGAACTACCTCATATCCTTTAAGATTATCCGTTACACCATTTTGTATATTTTATAACTTAACGTGACACCTCCATTTTTCTATACCAGTCAACACCACAGTCAGAAGCATATAAACTTTCCCACGAAAAGAGTGAAATGCCTTCTACTCATAAGAATCAACTTTATATTCAGAAAAGAGGCTTATACATATTGTGTGATTGGAAAATACATTTTGTATTGCTTAATTGTCTCAAATTAATATTCAAAAATTCCAATTCAAATCCACACATAAAATTAAAAACCTTAAAAACCCGAAAAAACCTAATCGACCAACCAATTGGAATCACAATTGAAATCAACAACTAAACCCTAATTCACTGAACGAAAACCATTATTCCACAGTGAATTTCGCATTTTAAAATTCTAAAACGTAAAAACTTTCAAATTTGGACTCACAGCTGGAGGGCTTCGAGGAACTTGTCGTGCTCGGGGTCAGTCCAGCTCTCTCGAGATTTGGAAATGGTGTAGGGCTTTCGGACCTTCTTATTCAGGTCGTCGGTCCCGTTGGAGGCTGAAGCTCCGACTGTAGGAGAAAACGATCCAAGATTCGGAAGAGCCATACCGGTCGGATCCAAGTAGAAGCCTTCCGGTGGGTTCGGGTTCAATGAAACCATACACCGGTTTGTATGTGTGTTATAACCTTGCCACTGTGTTTCTTCTCCACGTTTCCTGCTTGTTAAGCTGGTGATTTTGTGATTTTTGACACTAAATTTTTTAGGTTTTCTTGTTTTCGATTTTCGTTGAGTTTTTGCATTATGTTAGCTCCAATAGGATTGTGCCACGTTTGTTATTGGCATATTGCCATCGGGTCCATAGCACACACGATTATAATTTCTACGTTTTCCATTTCTCGTTTTGCCCCCTGTAATAACGCCTAATTACTGATTGCCCCTTCTCAATTTTTAGGAGAATGTGTTATTAAGCCCCCGTTTGCTCCTATTTTCGGAAAATGAAAATGGGTGAAATAGTATTTTTTTGAAAAATGAGTTAGTGAAAAAGAATGAAAAATTTTCGATTTGCGTGTAATATTATTTTATGAAAGATTGTGTGGTTATAAATAGGAGAGAAAAAAATGAAATGTAATGAAATGAAATTTAATGAGAGCCAAACAGGGGGTTAAAGTAAGGAAAAAATTTTGAACTTGCGTGCAGAATATATTATTGTATGAGTGTGTAGTTGAAAATGAATTTTTAGAAAAAAAAATTCAAATTCAAAACATGGGGCTATTAAATGTACTCTAAACTTATTTAGGGTTTTTTCTAAAATCTATTCTAGATAAGAGTTTTTTTTGCAAATTAATTTTCAAATACTAATTAAGGTAATTTCATTGAAAAGCTCTTCCACAAAAATGTTTGAAAAGTTTTTATAGACAGTTTAAATTATAAGTATATAGAAATGAGTAAAAAATAAGCTAGTAATTTTGTGAATTCAATTGTGATTTTTAAAAACTTTGATGAACATTTTTTAAATAATAACTTTTGGGGATCTGGTGAAATGACTCTGGACGAGAAAGAAGGAGATCTTCTCGATGGAGGTGATGTCCTCGACGAAGGAGATCGTTAAGGGACTGGACCGCAATCCTACACAAATAACAATATTAATTTAATTAATAATTCCTAACTCATGAAAAATGGTAATGAAGCAATTAGATTCAATTCACATACCCAATCTCAATCGAGGATCGAATCGGACCTCTAGTCGTCTTGGGTATGCAGAACGGCTAATTTACTCACAACACCCTACCCCTCTTTCTCTATCGACGACATCAACTCAGTTATGACTTCAAGTGGACATATTGACTTTTCAACTAGTTAACGATCATCTAATGAGATTTAAACTATGTACAATATTAGTCATAAAATGCATAATACTCACCTAAGAGTCGTTGAAGAGAGTCGATAACTGTTTTCCTGAGGAATATTCGTCCCATCGAGACGCTTGTCAATGATGCATCCGAGGATAGAGTGTCTCTTCTCGTCAAGCAAAGCTTATACCTAATAGGAGGACAATTTCATACGCCCAGATCTACTATACATAAAATTATTATATATAAATTCCGTAGAAAAATATTCGAATGTTGATTATGTTAAAACATTTTACCTGCATCGTCAGGGCAATCCATAGGTATTGTACTTACGCAGGGTCCCCTTTGACTTCGAATGCGTTATGGTGAAGTAGTATACGATGTCCTCGAAACATCTCTGGCCTTATAGATAGTTGTTGAAACCTTTGATGTCATCGATGATCCCCAGATGGAAGTGTCGATCGCACGCTCTCGAGAATATAGACCAGACCTAGTTTTAGTTTGTCTAACATCTGGTCACATCCCTTGACTGCACCGATCAACTATGAAAGTACGTGCAGTAGAGTCTGTTGCTTCTTTGAGCTACTTCATCGCCCATAATCATCAGTCCGTGATCGGGGCAAACTTAAACATGGAGAAACTGGCAACTTTGCCCCCGAAATCATAGTGGGGGGCATCACCGTCGACTGAGCTCAGCAACCGACATAGTAGTGCATCTATAATCTGACCCGAGTACTGTACATCTCTCAATTAGTATGGGGTCCAAAGAAAGGACAGCCGTAGCATATCTGCATGTTGATCATCTAGCAGCTCTAATACAGTAGTGAAACTGTCAAAACTACTGTTCCAAGTAGCTTTTCCTAGCATCTATCTCAACACTGCAACTAGATGGTAATTCATTCTGTAAAAATTCTAATGTTAAAACATTGTACAAGAGATAATGAAATAAAGCATAATAATGAAAAATTAAGCAAATAGAATTGTAGCTAATATACATAAGACACAGATTCATTTTATACCGAACTAATAAAAAATAAATGATTTACTAAAATGACAAAAATAATAAAATTAATGAAATTAAGAAAAGAATTTAAAATAAATTTTTTTAATGAACATAAAAATAAAAATTTTATTTAAATTAAATAAAGAATATAAATATTATTTAATTGAAAAAAAAATTAATAAAAAAAGAAAATAAAGAGTCGGCCCACTAACAATCTTTAAAAATTATTAAAATTAAAATTAATTAAAAAGGAATATTTTTTACTCTATTATCAAAAATTAATAATAAAAACTAAAATTATAAAAATTAAATAAAGAATATAAATATTATTTAATTAACTTTGAAACAACATATAAAAATAAAATGAAAAATAATAAAAATAATAATTTTTTCCTTATTATCAAAATTTAATAATAAAATTTTAATTTTAATTTTAAAATTTATTTAAATTAAATAAAGAATATAAATATTATTTAGGAATTAAAATTGAAACAATATACAAAAAGCAAACAAAACAAATAATTTCGGTGATAAAAATATTTAATTAGTTAATTTTTAATTAAAAAATATTCTTTTAATTTTAAAATTTCAATTAGTATTTCTTAATTTAAAAATGTTAACCAAAAAAAATATAATGTATATATAAAGAATAACAAAAAAAAAAGAATTATAAAAATATAAAATGAATTAAGCAAAACGAAAGTGAAAAAATTAATAAAGAATAAAAATATTATTTAAAATTGAAAATATTAAATTATTAATCAAATATAAGAAAGACAAAAAAAAGGGGGGGAAAAAAGTGGGCCGACTAACCGTCTATAGTAACAGTCGGCCTAGACCGTTAACAATCACTCGGCTGTTAACGGTCGATTTTGCTGACTATTTAACAGCCAGCCTTTTTTCTCGTCGGAAATTGCCATTTTCGGTGAGAAAAAGCTCCCATCCACCCTTAAACTCAATCATCTACCCTAAATAATCAACAATAAATTGAAAAATGATAATTTTATTACCCTAAACCATTATATTAGTAATCAAAATCACTCCAAACCATAATCTAAAACAACCAAACTCTAACATTGTAGAAAAAGAAGTTCGTCGACCAACTAGGTTGTGGGTGACATCGCTTATTGTTGACCGATCGCTGGGTGACTGGATCCCGACTGTGGTGAATTTTCTTAGTTCACATTACTGTTTCGCACAAGAAGACAAAGGAAGAAACTGAAGGAGAATGAAGGAATTTTTGGGTTTTGATCTTTAAATTCAATTTTATTTTTTTTAATAATAGTCAAATGCCACTTTTGAAATAGACATGGGTCAACCGGCCATTTCCTATGATTTCCTCCTAAAATCCTCAGTTTCTAAAAATACCCATTATGATTGTGAAGCTTTGCCTCACGAAGTCGTGGCCCTGCTTCTCAAACTAAACTTCATCAAGGAAAAAGGTAAAATGTTCCACATTACTGTTAGAATTAAGACTATATGATGAAACCCAGTTAGTTACTGCTTTTGAGATTCCAAGAAAGCTTGAGTATGGTGTATGGAGCCATGTGAAGGTGAAACCCTGTTAGTTGGTACTATTGAGATTCAGAGATCAGAGATATAACTTATAAGATACTTGTTGGAAGAAAAATTCTAAATTTTATGGCCTAAGAAACTGATATTAATTTGATTTCTTGGTTGGTAAAGTTAGATACCAGCCTTTGCTGAAATAGAGCATGATTTTCGGTTTATAGAGGTGAAAAGTGGGATCATGATGTCTAACTAACTTTATCATATAAACTGTTAAAGGCTATCCATTTCGAAATATCATAACATGATGCAAATAACCACCAATAATAATATTATAGGATCTGCTTATTATTTACGAACGCTGATGCATAAGGATATCGCAAAATTAGATGCTTGAGATATTGAGATTTTGGTTCTGCCAAATAAGCATCTTCAGAGCTTAGTTTGATATTTTGGACTTCGTTGCTTCTCTTATATTACTGCACGGATAGTTAGAACTTGACATCAGACTTGTTATCACTATACAGATGGCCCCGTTTGATTATTTTCTGGTTGTGATTTAGCTTTAATCTCATACCAATAATTAGGGATGGAGCCAAACCGACCCAAAATTTTTGGATACTTAGTAATTGGAATCGTTGGGTCCAAACTTAATTATGGAACCGTTCGGGTTCGGTTCGGTTCGGTTCCGTACTATAATTATATTTTTTAACATTTGCAACACCACATAACTACAACTAATAACATGTTGAATCATAGCTTTTACAAATTAACGAAATCCAATTAAAAAACATATAAATAACAAGTTGTCCAATAATATTAATTTATCAATGTATACATATACCAAAAAGTAGATACTAGTACTAAAAAAGAGGTAGGACAGTATGTAGTGTACTATGTAGTTTATTTAGGGTTGGATACTTGGATTTAGTGGGTTAGACATTAGAGATTTAGAGTTGGGCTAAAAATGAAAGAATAAAATGGGTTTGAATGCTTGATGTTGGGTTAAAAAAAAAATTAAAAATGAAACAAATAATTGGGCCAAAAAATTAGATTTAGAAAAAATTAAAATATTGATTTATTCAATATAAAAAAATTAGGAAAATTTGGTTCTTATTCGGTTCTTGGTCTAGAATCGAGAACCGAACCGTACCAGTCGGTTCTTAATTCGGATATCCATTTGGGTATTTAACTTAAATAGAACCGTCGGGTTCGTTTCGGTTCAGTTCGGGTTTGATTGGATCGGTTCGGTTAGAGAGTTTTGTCCAGCCCTACCAATAATTAAGAGTTTTGGCACTGGAAGTAAATGGCAGTAGAGCGAACACTAATTTGCCTCTTTTCCTAAACCAATCAAATTGAAATAATCCAACGTTTTGTCATTATTGTGTTTGATTTCCAATTAATTT